CATACGATACCGCACAAGTGATAGCGGCTACAGCACCATCGTGGGCTTGAATGCTATACATGCATGCTCCTGCAAAAGTATTATTGAAAAATCAGAGATGTAACAGTCACGATAAAGTGTAAGTTATATTTGAGATTTTCGTGCAAAGATGTTACCTGTTAGAAGATCCCACACGCATAGCAATCCATCTTGAGACCCACTGCCAGATGTGTTGGGACTTATTCTGTCGATAAATAGGCACGATATCGGGCCGCAATGCCCGTGAAGCGTGTACAAAGGCAGTTGATCTTCTAGCCTGAATAAGATAAATATATAAGAAAAATTCTCAGGCATTGTTCGTTTGACTGTACGTACCTGTACACTTTCAAGGTGTGATCTTGACTTCCCGTTAGTACGCGTCCACCTTCGCTATCCAAGACGGTGATCGCTTGTTGATGCGCTCTGTGACAGCCAATTTTCATGCAACGCAAGTCTTCCTCCGTTTGCATACTATTATTTAGGTCCATGGGTGAACCAGCACTTCCCGTTCGCACGTGTGCTGAAATATGACGGATAATTAGATCCGCAGATGTCTAATACAATAAAAAGGAATAAAATGCACCCTTATTCGCGATGCAATACAATATCGTGTAATATTTACACAATGCAGGAATAATCTGCCATATTTAAATTAAAATTAACGATATTTTAAAGTTCATTTACTTCTTCTGTAAGACGTGAAACGGCAATCAATCTGCTGGCCTTCACTCTCGAGTTGTAAGAAGTCGACAGTTCCATTCAATTTAGCCGCCACTACTCTGCTACCAACGAGTCTAACGGCCGAAATTCCAAGTCCCGATCCGTCATCAAAGAGACACTGAATTGAGGAAGAATAAGATTGTTAAATGTCTGTTAAATATGCTTGTTTAGTATTTCGCGGCTCACCTTAAATCTACCTGTTGTACCCTCCCAGAATTCTAGACTACCATTAGCGCATCCTACTACTATGAGATTTTCCTGATAATCCATACACCAAATCGCTGATATTCCGTGCGATGTCTGTATCGTGCGATCAGTATTTATAGAGGATGTGCTGCCTAAGTTGTTTAATCTTCCAGGAGGGACGTTATCTCTAGTTTCTGATTTTTGCATCTCCTCGATCGATTTGTTGTGTTGCTCCATTAAGGTTTTATATCGCTCGCCAAAGTCGAAACCTTGATCGTAATTCTTTTGCGAGGGCGTATATTTTATGGAGGAGAATTTCATATTGATCTCCGGTTTCAAATCTGGCAGATCGTAAGCGCTGTCCAAGCTGCGACGAAACAGCTTCTGCTTATTGTCACTGCCGAGCTCGTTGATTTGATAATCATAATCTAATGCGTTTCCCATAGATCGTCGTTTGTGAGTGTTATTATTATTGTAACTAGTAGCCCTTTGCATATTGTATGTGTGAGATAATCTTCCCTGATGTGTCGCAGAGGCCGGCGAGTAAAATCCCAGCGATTGTGCGGCTTCCATTTCCCCCCTGGAAGGTGGAGAGCCACTTTCATAATCTGACATCAATTCATCGGTGTCCATCGACGTCGAATTCAAGTTTTTCTGCGGGCTGCTAAAGAATTGTCGTCTGTCGATATGTGCGAGTTGCTCGCCGGATGTCGAGTCCCATATCCTGATGTGTCCGGCTAGACACGTGCTAGCGATGGTATTACTGTCGGTCGCGATGCACTCGACTTCTTGACTGTGTCCTTCCAAAACCAAGGGCACCGCCTCCAGCACTAACTGAGTAACGGAATCGTGCGTTTTTTCCTGCTGGTGCCAGCTCGCCCGCCACTCCGCGTAATTTCTAGAGCAAATGCAACGGTAAAGCACAACCATCGTGTAAGCGACCACTATCACGCTAATAAGACACAGCACGGCGGCCAAAAATATCTCCATCGGACTCGACGGTACAAAAGGCGCGTCTGCATTAAATGCTCGACCCTCTGATCTGGACGGCACCTCCATATCTAAAAATAAAGATGGGCGTAAAAGTCGGTGACTAATGTAACGAACAACCAATTTTTGGCAAATTTTTATGAACAAACCGGAAAAGTCTAAAGGATCGAGCGCGGCGGTAGCGAGGATCTGCCATTGAAAATGTTGAACGTCATTCGGATTGCTAATTTGTATCGCTACTTGTGGGCTCACGGCATGCGATAATTTTATAGTTGGAAGTATAGTCACTCGTCCACCAGCAATCGACACGTTGTACATCGAGAGAATCGAAGACCAATGGTACAGCGATAAGCTGTTCCATGGTGGAAAATCCACAGGCTTTAGCTTGTTCAATTCTTCGGTCGCATTGTTAGTTAAATCCTGAAAAAAAAAAAAATTATTTTCTTTAAATATGTAGATAGTGAAGAAAATAAAAATGTTATTAATATAGCATATTAATAAATAATATAATTACAATTAAAATTATAATAATAATATAATATAATATAATAATATAATTATAATTAAAATTATAAATATAATTACAATGTACGAAGTAATTACAATTTGAAAAGAATAAAGTTTACCTGTTCGTTCAAATTATCGGGCACTATAGTTGCGGATGACACGGATATAGGTGTCACCGTATTTAGCTCAACATAATTGCTCAACAATTGCGGCTTATCTATAGTATATCCGTCAATATCGCTTTCCGGCTTCAGTGTCTCGCTAAGGTGTATCACATGCTCGATAATACCGGAATTGTTGATGGTCACGCTGATCCATACGACCATCCCTACCATAAACGCGCGCTGAAAGATCCGCGTTCGCGCCCAGAAGTGCACCAATCTCAAACGTTTCGGAATTTTGCCCAGCGTGTGCGTATTCTGCGTATTCGGAGCGATGACGTTGGTCGGACCGGCCGATAGACCGTTCAATCGCGGATGAGACTTAGAGCGGAATATATGAGGTTTTCTATTGGTGATAGTAGTAGTGAATTGTTGCCTGCGTAATGTTGGAATATGCGATATGTGAAATTTCGAGTTCTCGTTAGACAGCTCCGTTCGTCTGATGTCGATTGCCAGGATAGGCGAGAAGAATACCATTTGCAGAAAGAAGTCGGTCATTAATCCGACAATGGCAAATATGCAAAATTCTTGAATAGCGTACACAAAGGTGAACAATCCGACAGTGAGAATCGTCATTTCCATCAATAGATTCTTTGTAATAGACCAGCCTTCCTTCGATAAGGCTTGAGCGACGCGTATCTTCACGTCCAGATGAGCGGGTGTGCTTACGACACTTTTGGTCAACACCTGAACGTTCTCGAGGCCGAAAATTATTACCAAGTACGGAAACACTTTGGCGCTCATATTCACAGTCCAACCGAAAAAGAAACACAAGCCCATGGTCATGGACAGCGAACCCATCACCGTCACTGCAGCACTAAACGCAATACCGATTTTAGACTTTACCAATTCTATCTTTCGCACTTGGAAGTATTCGTAGAAAAATAAGGCGAGGAAAGTCATCATCAGTGGGAAGAATTCACTGTAATTAAATTCACCGGGATAAAAAATATTTAACATCTCATCGTGCGTATCCACATTCGTGATATTGTCGACATTTTGATGAAGATGGTAAAAAGTCCTTAATCGATGTTGTAATCCCTTGATAAATCTAGAATGATGAATAAAATATACATTATTATACATTTATGTAATGAAATAAAATCGTGAATACTTAAATACTTACTCGTGATCGTATTCTCTCAAATAAATGGTCACAGCGTATTGAAGAATTCTCTGACGAATTCGAGCAGGATATCTTTTTACTCCTGTCTCTTTTAAACTCATTCCAAACATTATTTCTGCAAGACTTATTTTACCCCTCTGAAAATTCTATAAACATAAAAAGATAGGAACAAATCAATTATTTTTATTACTGTAAGAATAAATTAGAATATATTACCGTAAGAATAATATAATAAGATAAATTTTTTTATTTATTACATCTCACTTGCAGTAAAAGATGATGAATACGAATCGTTATCCATTAGACTGCTATTATCTTATACAGAATATTTTATTTCTAAGATCGTATATATTTTACCTGATATGAAAATATAGTATTGATGAGATTTGTATCTTGAGAAAATAATTCTAAGCTTTGTTGCCAGAGATTTGCAGGCGACAGGACAAGACAGTTGTATTCCGGTAAAACTTCTGGTTTCTTGCCATTTCTTTTCTTCACCGCTTCAATGTGCAAACATACTTGGCCGAGTGTTTTCAATCTAAGAATCAAAACAAATATCAATTTTTGTTTCTATATATATCCATTTGTTTTATTTATCACTTGCATTGCAAGTCTCTTGGCTTACAATGTGATAACGAAAGCACTTACGTTTCTGGGTGTTGATAATTCTGTATGATCTCCAAGAGATTGAACACTTCGTAGAGAGGCCCTCTGAAGGCATCCATCAATGTTAGGTCTTCGCTCCACGGCATCACACCAACTCTTAGCACTACTTGTTGAACGTACAATACTGATGTTTCTGTGCCGTTGACTGGTATGACAGTGTTGTTTATTATAGTTTTCGGAGCATTGCCCGGCATGGGCAAATTCAGGAGCGGATAACTGCAACAATGAGGATTTTAGATATTATTTCATAATTCTGAAACGCGCATGAAAATGAAGAATAACTCACCAGCATACTAGCAACCCCGATATTGCGACCGAGAGCAAGATTATAGGATGGGAAGAGCAGAGTAGGCCATGGGCATAATAAAGCCCCGCCACCCTGTCCGGCAGACTGCGAGACATTTCACCTACGTCTTTTTCCTAAGCGACATCCCTTGATTATAGGCGATCTTATCACCGTTTGTAACTGACCTAGCAACACCCAATAACATTCATATCGATACGGCGAACGTAACGCATGACATTGTAAAATATCGCTACGCGGTTAGGGAAATTAGAGCAAAAAGACACTGCATATTTTTTTCCGATTATCGCTATCATTGCGCAATTAGCATATATCGTATTAAAATTAACTCATTCCTGACGACTCGGCACTGCCGCGAAAGTAATGCGATAACGAAATAAGGAAAGTGATCAGTTGACTCTCATTAGCGAGGCGTTCGCACGCGAGTTTACGTTACAGATCATTCACTTACAGCATTCCTTAATCATCTTGCTTCATCGTCGAGAACGTTCTTCGCTATTGCGTTATCCAAGACGAGGAAGAGAGGCAGATATCGACCGCGTGGTTGCGATACATCAAAACTCTCCACGATCACTCGCGAGCTCTCGTCGCACACTCAAGTCTCGCACTTCGCGAAATAAACTGCAGCAAAATATCGGAAAGATCGAACACGTGAACGTGATACGAAGCGCGAAGCGGCGAAAAACGACGCAGAAGAAAGCGTGTTACGTATGTACATGCGTACGTAGCGCACGACCACATAAGGCCCGAAGATTATTGGAGGTTATGTTCGACGTTGACACAGTCGACCGTGTCCACGGCTGGTTCTTGCGGCGCATTAGAAGCGCATTAGAGATTACGCCGGGAGCACTGTTGGGGATCGATTTCACGATACACTTACATGAAACGTTGCACCCGCACGTGCTGTCGATCACGCGTCATCACGACTCGCTAGTTGAGCGAGCGAGCGAGCGGACAGTGAAATCTCCACACGAAGGAGAAGCGAACGAATACGATAAGTATTAATCTTAACGTGCAATGACGACGATGGTTATCAGTTATTCGGCGCACGCGTTATTCTATGTATTTCATACGCAATAAATCGGCACGTCGTCGGCCGCTTCGGCCACGGCTTCAATTCCGTAGTACACTGGCCGATTGAATTTAAGTCGTGCTCTCGCGCAGACGAGTGTTAATTTATTTTTAAGCGAGAGCCTCGGTCGAGCCCCTGTCTTACGACCAATCGCAGGTGTGCGAGCGGCATGCACGACGGCACGTTGCTGAGCCACCAAATGCACGTGGCCAACAAAAGGAGAAAAAGAATCACACGCTGAAGAAAAAGAAAAAAAGAGTATTGCTGGAAAGAAGTACGTCGTGTAACTAACCACGACCGCGCGTCGGTCGTGCGTACACGAGCCGAGTTGTGCGATTAGCTAATCCGTGATTCGATCGCATGCATAATCGAAGGCTCGGATGTCAGAAAAGTTTACCCCTTTACATAATGCAGGAGAGTAGAAACAATTGTCCGAGACTTGGAGATTTTTTTGCAAATGCAATGCTTTTTGCAAACTTTTGCAAATGTAAATGCATTGAACGGACTTGCAATGGAAATTTATATTGTGAGAGATTATTGATTATATAATTTTCTATTTTAATTAAAATATGAATTTATAATTAAAAGAAATATAAAATAAATAAAATATCAAAAAACTTAAGTCATAAATTTTAATAATGAATTGATGGTGATTTAAATAATGAATAGATTAGATTAGAATTTAAATATTGATAAGAAAAATCATATTGCATGTGAAACAGGAAATGGTTCTGATGTATTTTCCAATGCTTACGAAAAAGTCACGAGTAAATGTGCTGCATGTAGTTTTTTTTAAAGAGAGAGAGAGAGAGAGAGAGAATTCTTAAAAACTCTACTACTATTTATTTGTTGAATGCATAATCGAGAAGATCTGAATGCTGTATGAATTTCATTTTTTAAATAATACAAAATCAAGTTTTAGAAAACTTCAAAGTACCAAAGATAATATTACAAAAAAAATGTTACAAATGTCACATTTACAAAACTCAAGATAATTTATAGCTGTCAGCTAACATTTCAACTTCGTTCTTATTTTTTTTCTTGTGTAAATTTTCTTTATTTTTGTATGCTTTATTTTTGTATGCTTTAACTCTCACGAATATGATTGAGATGATAGAGAACCATAAAAATAAATTTTATGGTAATAAATATACGAATACTAAAGTATGTTAATATTACGAGTCTTGTATTTTTTCTTTTAATGCGTTTTTAGTAATAATTTGCATATACATTTATGGTAAGTATATACATCTAAAAAAAGATGCGAGGCCATGTTAATGCTCAGTAATATTGAAGTTTGTAAATAATGCAGTATGTATATGCTTCATTCTTCGATTTACTTTACACGCGCAAGGCGAGCTTTACTCTGTGTAGTTACAGACCGTGCGCGGCCTATTATCCCGCGACTGACGTGTCTAATTGCATCAATTGCGTAATAAATGGAAATTAGGCTGTAAATGGTCAATATCGTTCAAGAGTCAATCGTCTGCAAGCGTGCACGCGATTTTAGAGCTCGAATTGGTACACGTATTGAATTATGAGAGTCGCGTTTTATGAACAAATTATTTGTATTTTTTAAAAAAGCTTATATTAATATTTCGAAATGTAATCAATTTATGAATAGTTAAAACAATTTACTGGCAATAGATGTTAAAATAGTTTCGTCAATTAATCTCTATTAGATTGAAATCAACATTAATGCATAAGAGATAAAAATAATGCAAAGCGAATATGATTTCTATTCATTTTCCTTTATTCAATCAAGTATCAATTATCGGATCTTCCGTCTCTCATATTCTTACTTAATTTCTTTTCTTATAATTAATTGTTCAATGCTAGAACTATTTTATGCACTTAGGAGTTTTATTAGATTTCAAAATATTAATACTTTCTCTCTTAACTAATTAACATTTTCTCCTTTTGCTTCTTCCTATCTTTTCACTAACATTATTATCTTAATTACTTTCAAAGAGGAAACTGTTACACAGATACATAAATAGAATGTATTTATCTGTCTGTAGAATGCGCATACAAAGATATTTAGAATTGAAAATACATGAGCTACGTAAGCTGCACACTTATTTATACACTTCTAGTTTATTTTGCGAACACTAAATGCATGACTTAATTGATCTGCGATTTAAAATTACAGATTATAAAATTTTTCACGTTTGCTACGAGTACAGAAATAGCTATTAATTCTGTAGAATCGTCAAATATTTTTTAAAAATTACAAAATTTACTTATTATTGCATCCACTATTGCGATGTTTTTGCCCATGTTTAATTTTCGATGATAAATTAATCACATTTAACAATGGAAGAGGAATTTCATAACGCAGAATTGTGGAGGGGAGTGTATGCATCATCCGCTTATGTTTGCATAATTTGCACATAATTTCTTGCGAAATTGCGTAGTGGACGCGATGACGCTAAGGAAATAATATTAACAACGGGCCATTCATTCGCACATTCTGTTACTTTACTTTATTACTTAGGAGTATTACTACATCGTGTGTTATCGAGAAATATTGTCGAACAGTCTTTAATTTTTAAACAGACTTAAAACCTTGACCATTGAGTTCTCATCCGGTGGACTGACATGAGTCGCGAAAAGATAGATATCTTCAGATAGTAAATATTCATATATTTTTATTTAGTTATCAATTTAGTCATCAATATTTTTAGAATATTGACATCATCATTGTGAGATAATTGAAATCAGATTATATAATAATGATATATAATAATGAATGGAGAGAAAGTGATTGAGAGAGAAAGAAAGAGACATAATTTAGTAGTTTTTATCTCTTCATTATCTATCATTATTTTTATCTCTTATGCATTAATGTTGATTTCAATCTAATGGAGATTAATTAACGAAACTATTTTAACATCTATTGTCAGTAAATTGTTTTAACTATTTATAAATTGATTACATTTCTAAATATTAATATAAGTTAGTTATACAAATATTTGATAAAAATTAATAAAGTAAAGATTGGAATACTGATTTTCACTAAATTTCACATTTTTAGTATATGAACATTACAAAATATGGATATAATGTAAATATAAATAAAAATCCGTTGCTTAGGGACAATTTCTTCTCGATAAAGATAATGGCAATAATCAATGACGATAACATCGATATACGCATTGATGATTGCATTAGACGCATGTGTTGCCGTCGTTCGGGCGCTCCAAAATCAAGCGAAGTTATAACGCTGTAACGTTTATCGCCAAAGTCTTCTTGGGGTCTAGAAGGTCTCATCGGCGGCTTTCATTATAACGGTAAACCAGTAAAATTTTATGCTGTTTCCTTAATGAAGCTTCGTCCTTAGATAACGGCAGCCGATATCCGCGAGCACAGGCGCTTAGGCGATGTAGGCAAATGGGGCTTATAATAAAATCGCCTCGATAAATATTAATGATACCGGTAGCGTTGCGCCGGCTGCTGTTAGTTAGTTAGAGCTCGATGGCTTCTATCTGCCATAAAATCGATACCTGACGTCCTCGATTAGCTCGAAACTCGGATTTAATTCTTGACCGACGCAAAATTTCTCGCATGTTAAATAAATCCCGTGTGTGTTTGAATGAAAAATAGTATGAAAGTCTGTTTGCCTGTTTCTTATGCAAATGTAATCGTTATGTAGAAAAACAGTTTGTTTTCAATATATTTGTCGTGCCTACACGGTGTCTCGAAATTTCCGATGAAAATATTACTATGAAATATGTGTTTTTCATTTCTATTTTAAATTTCGACCACCTCGTATTGTATGAGTGTGTCTGTGTGGAATTAAATTGTTAATTATTCAGCACTGTTGTGTGAAATGGATCAAATTATCTTAGCATTTCTATACAGAAATAGAAAAATTTATTTGCGCCTATTTATTTCATCGCGCTGTTATTTCTATTTCAATCAATTTTATGTTGCGCATCCAATTGCTTCTGACACTTTGCCAAAAATATTTGGCTCATTTTTCCTCTTTAATGCATAAAGAGATACATATGTATGATAATAATGTTGACCAAAAAAAAAAGAAAAAACGAATGTTAAATATTGAAAAATTGTAACAAACGCTGGCGTTTCTCCAGGAAAGAGATCTGCTGCAAAATAAAAAATTCTTGTGTTAAATTTAAGATGTGACACCGGTGTGTGTTCCGGAGAATACATCCTCGGGGTATAATCTTATATTAATTTTAAAACGAAATTCGCATCTCATGAAAATTCGCTGTCTCCTGTGACACAGACGCATCCGTCTTCCTTGTGATTTCCTCCGACTTCTGCCCGAAACCTTTTTCTCTCCGCTTGTGTACATTCGACTCGCGTCCCTCGCTCGCACGTCTTCCTAATCGAAATTGATGCAACGGCGTCTCCGAGAGATGATGGATGGCTTGCCGACGAACAGCAGAGATTCGAGGAGCTTAAACGTCCTTGCAAATTATTTTTCTAACTTAGAGGAAGTTGCCGTTGAAGTTGGGCAGACTTTCTCACAGTTTTTAATTTTTCAAATATCTTTGAAAGTTCTCCGAAGGTTGTAGAAGGGTAAAAGCGTATATGTGTATGGTGTAATACTCTCGGTGCTCATTAAGAACGGTTTTTAAATAGTTTCCAATAGATACTTAAAATAAGAAGAAAGAGAGAGAGAGAGAGAGAGAGAGAAAATACAATTAAACCGCAAAGATTGCAATTAATATTTCCAAAAAGGTTATCCGAATGATGAAAATACTTTGCTGATAAACATTACGTGAACTTTCCCTAAAAAATATCGCGGCGAGTTAATTTCCGGCTCGTGAATCGGCTCGGTGGAGATCGATGCGGCACGAGGAGGGTGGCGGGCGCGATATTACGAAACCGCCTTCAGAAGTTTGATAAGCTTCCACAGAGCTCGACGCTTGATGGAGTGGACTTATACGTCTTCGGCGTTTTGCACGGAGAAACGATCCGCCAAACGAAACAGCGCGTATGTCTCTATTCGCTTCTCGGGACAGAAGCGGAAGTGAGGATAAGCGGGGGCGGTGGGTCGGGAGGTGGTGGTTCGTTTATCGTGCGGCCAGAATGGCAATTTATCTTACCGACAAGACGGACCGATGGTACTAGTCCCTTGGATATAAATGACACCGCCTCTCGCGAAGATCTTCCACGGAATTCCGCGGCGCGCGACAGAGGGAAAGGAAAATCTACCGTTTCCATGTAAGCAACGTCGCGCTAGAGTACATTTTCAATTTCTCGTATATTAAGGGCTTGCGAGCTCTTCTTCGCTTATGATGTTTAAAGTACATTCTCAATTTCTTAAAGCACCTTAAGGTCTCGTATCTGGGATCCTTGACGTCAGAAGCGAGGAAAATTGCACGCGGTATTCTTACGACTTACGTCCACATCGATAACTTTTACTCAATTTAATTGTAAGCGAAGCTGAAAGCTAAGTGTATTAATTCACTGTAAAGGTAAATATTTAAAAGGTAAATATTTGAAGCAAATTTTTGCCAAACCTAAATGCACAACGTAAATTAAATTAAATACAT